ATTAGTACAAACTAGCTTTCAGATCTTTGCGAATAGCCAAAAACCATATCGAGAGGATGTCACATTTAAAAGAATAACGCCTGATAGGATTCCTGATATAACCAAATTCACCCCAGGTCAAAGTACAGTTGTTGTATTCGAAGATCTTTGTGCTGAATCAAAAAAGACTCAGGAACGCATCATCCCTTATTTTATTAGTGGACGTCATCAAAATATCTCACCAATATATGTGACCCAAAAATATCAAGCCATGCCAAAGATAATTCGTGAAAATCCGAGCCATCTAGTTATGTTCCGAGGGAGTGGATCTCGAGAAGACATGCAGAATTGTGCGTCAATATACGGATGACCCAAAAAAAACATCTAAGATTATTGACAAACATTTGCGAGATCGGAATTTTGTTGTCTTCGATTTTACTAAGGCATCTGACGATCCTCTCGCAATTAGATTAGGTTGGGACACGCCCTTAAAATTGGATGAGTAGGGTTCGTTTCTGCCCTTTCGCATTTATTCTCATGTTATATTATATTCCATATACATAAAAAAAATCATGTGCACATTCTGTTCTGAAACACCAATAAAGAAAAATTTCTATACAGGCATGTATTATTATTTCACATGTAGCATACACGCATTAGCCAAACAAACAAATTTTTTACTTATCTTCAAGCAAAAATATTATATGGATCATATGATTAATAGCATACGAACTACTATTATTCCATGCAATTTACATTACACTGCATATTATGTTAAAGAATACGAGATAAATACGTAGATAGATATACATAAATTTTGACCAATCCACCGATTTAACCAGTTTAACCTAATTATTCTTCTTTTTTCTAGGAGAAGTTTTCACTTTATCGATCTTAGAATCATCATCACTTGATTCGGAAATAGGATTTGTAATATAAGACATTATACTCTTAGTACTCGAAATAATCATATCCTAATTTTCAAGAATAACATTACATCAATCAATATCTTTATATGTATTCAAACATTTCATGCAAAAACTTACTCGCATCGTCCACAAGTTTGAGGCGAACTTTGGTAACTCTTTGAAGAGCAAAGCTGGTATTGTTGAATAAGAGAACTTTTTTTCGAGTTTAAAATAATATACACCAGCAAAGGGCATACACATGCTGTAAATATAAAAGTCATGATCTGTATGGATTTATGAAGAAAATTAGAATTTACTTATAATGGAAATATTGATCCAGCCATAGAACTTACCATATATTTGAACGCCGTATACTTTTATTCTTCTAAACTCTCCGAAATCGCCTGGATAGTTGACTTTAATAAAGTTCAGTATGATCTTTAGCCCCTTGGCGGTTTTATTTCTATCCCCAACATAGTGGGTATGGTCAGGACATGATGGAGATCCTGAAACTTCCAAAGTTGACACCTCCAAATCAAAATCCACCATTGATATAATTGCGTCAATTTTATTTCCGGTACATCGTCGATCATCGTCTCTTAATGATTGGTTCAGCTGATCAGCAGAGCATTGCAAGGTTGATTCACCCCTGTTGAAACACAAGCCAGCAATAAAGTTAATAAATAATAGTAATTACTCAACGCACTAAATTTGACTTAAACTTACCACCTACAGTCCAAAAACAACTGATCTTCGAATAGCATGGTAAAGATATGGGAAACAAACTTAATTATGTAATGTCCTTCTGTCTGATTTTCTTTGAGGCGGTTTCTGCCATTTGAAAATTGTTTCCAACTATAGTAGTTCAATGTTAGAACAAAATCAGATTACAGTATATGAGGTACGCAGGATACTTGCAATATTTCCATCAAATCTAAAACCCGTTTCCTCCATATTGTATTTCCATTTTCCCGTAGCTTTTCACACTCTATTCTGATTACATCACGTAATTTTTCCGCGGTATTCTATGAAGTAAACATGAATATAAGGAATCACCAACAAATCAAAGTCTAAACTTCCCTACTTACCACATTTTTCAATATACTTTTTATATATTGTTTGACATCATCTGCCCTTCCATCTTGTTCTATGTCCTGGTCAATCGAAGCTAAAGCGGAAGCAGATTCTGGAGCTAATGATGTTGCATCGGGGTTAGACGTTAAAAATTCTTCTATTGTTCCAATAATATCACCCCAATGCTTCCCGAAGAGATTTCGTGCTTCTGTTGCAGAAGATTTAGTCGTATCAAGAATATTATAACGCATTAGGCTGTAAAAAAATGTTTTCAGCATCTAAAGTCTATATATATATCAATGGAGTATTCAACAGATGTACATACTCTTGTTTATGTATCTCTTCAACATATCTTGATGAGCGACGCCATTGCTCCATTTTTGATCTAACACACATATTCTTGACAATTAGCTTGCAATCGACGGTGATATCAACAGGGGATTCATTAGGAGATCATCTTCGGAAGTATCATCTTTAGAACCATGTTCTTTACATACGGAAGAACCTGATGAAGTATCATACGAAAAAATTCGATGAGGCGGAGTACGTGGCTCGGGACTATTAATTTCGTTTATACCGCTAGTCATTTCCGCACTAGACCCTGCGCTTTCTAAGCTTGATGAAAATGGTTTTGCCACTCCTGGTGATGATGATGGTTTTGGTACTTCGTGTGATGAGTATAGCGTGTCTTTCCCTGTTTACGCAAAAAAAAAAAAAATAGAAAATTTTGAGAAGAATTCACGGTAACAAATCCTTATAATCATAGAGATGCATTTAATACTGACTTTCTTAGCTGAACCAACCGACTCTTTATTCTGTAGATATAATAATCATTAAAAATTATTGTATAAAATTCAGGGCGACATAAGGTCTTATCAATATCCTAACCTTTTTCGAAAGAGATAACTGCTTTTTTCGCTTTGGTTGACGGGCAGGCATGAAATCATCATCGGACTAAATACAAAAGAAAAAGTTAGTTTCTATCGGATAATTATTTCCAGCTAAAAAAATACCTCTTGGTCTTCATAAGGGGATTTCGTAAGTCCACCATTTTCAATATTATCTCCAACTCCAAGATCTATTTAACGTAAAAAAAATCAACTGAGTCAACAAAGGAAAATAATGAGGAGCTGTAAATTTAACAATAAATACCTGATTTTAATCGTCTTAGATTATCCCTCTTGCCAAGAACTAAAATATCGCTTGCTTCGTCCTGTATTGTATTAATATGGCCGATCATTCTTTCAGTGCTTTTTATAGTCTTTTCCTTAAGTGAAATTTGAAGTTTTTCTGTTGCCAAAATTCTTGGATCTCTGAAGAACGCTTTTCATCCTAAAAAATAAGAGATAATAATTATAATTAGTCTCACTATTTATATCCAGTCACAGAGTTATCCAGTGTTATTTTTAAGCAAAGAGGTGCACCCTCCGACTCGACGGCGGTATTTCGGACTCGACCTAGCACCAGTGTGCCCACCAACTCGATGGCGGGATTATCAGACTCGACCAAACACTTTTTCTCTAGGCAATATATATAAGAGCAATAAAAAAAATTTAATACTTCCCTCGTATGTTGACAGTGCTTGTTCAGCTCTTTCCCTTTTTTTCTGCGACTCATTTTCATCATTCTTAATTCCATTTAGAATTATTCCATATTTGCGGTGTGGCTCAGAGCTGTCGCGCAAACTCTCTATCGAATCAAGGTACTTTATAAAGTTCAAGAGACTCCATTCTTCTGACTGATCAAAGAATAACATCGCTGAAAAATTTCGTTCCGAATAATTTGTAGAGGTAGACATCTTTTTTTTATTGTGTTGTGTAAAACTAGAACCAGTTTTTGTACAGTAATTTCGATGTCAGACCAGGGACGATGATTTATGGCGTTTCGCAAAATATCACAAATGCCACAAAATTTTGTGATAATCACAAAATTTCCTATCGTCACCACATAATTTCACAAAAATTTGATCCATATTACTGAAATAATAAATTTAAAAAAATTTTTTTTACTAATAATACTGATACTATTTTATAATAATCAGAAAAGTAATAAAATACTTTAAAATTTTTAAGAAATATATCAGTAATATTATTTAACCATTGATAACTACTAATAATTACTGATAAATTTAATTGGATTATCTTTTGAATTATCTTCAATACAAGTTTAAATATCTTTTACTTTTAATTTTAATATTTGATTACTAAATACTTTTTGAAATAATAAAGTAATATTAAAATTAATAAATTTATTAATTTTTTAATTTCTTCATTTTGGATTTATATATATAGTAATTTTTTAAAACTATTATTAAAAAATTAATGATTCAAAATGTTTAATATTCTATTTTTAAGAAGTTAATATGATATATAAATATAATATTTGATAAATGTGATTTAGAATCATAAAGTTTAAAAAACTGTATTTAAAACTTTTATATAAATATTTAATATTGATCAATTTAAAAATAAAAATTTAGATAATATATATACAGTATAAAAGTTGCTGTAGATTTTATAATATTATAAATTAAAATAAAAATATTATTAATAATATTTTTTTATATTAAGTAACTTTAAAATTTTTGTATTATTAAAAAATACAAAGTTTATTTGTTAAATTGCTTTTTTTATATTTATTTAAAATTTCAAAGTAAAGTCAATAATGGTGTAATTCTTTATCATATTTTATGAACTCTTTTTTTAATATTATTGATATTTTACAAAATTAATAAAAAAATATATATATATAAACTAGTATTTATAATTAAAATACTATTGATTAAAATAAAGAAAAATATTTAGAATTTAGAATTTTATACAATTGATAATCAATTTTATTTAATAGCTGATTAATTAATGATCTATTTATGGTTTCTTCACATCAAATGACCACCAATAAAATGTAAGCTGCGCAACTTCAGACAAATTAACCATTAATCCATTTGTCCAAAATACATAATAAAAATGAAAAAACCGAGGGGTTGACAAATATTGGCGGTCACGTGGGTGAGATTTTTTTCTGGTAACAATTAATTTTTTTCGCAATAGATTTAATATACAATTATCAGATTGTCATGTGAAATTGGCAAAATCAATTTACAAATTTATTTTATTTTTCTTTTTTTTCTCTGAATTTCTTCTTTTTTTTCATCATCGTTCCAATTATTAAGATTATCTAATAAACCATGTAATATTCGTTTTTCACTTAATCTCATAATAATAGTATATTTTAATTTCAACGAAATATTATTTGATTTCAAAATTTCATCATCTTCCTACAATAAAACAATATATTTTCGGTGTTACTGCAATAAATTTTCTGTAATTTCCCTAGAAGAATGATAATCTCACCTTAATTGAGGTTTTGTACATTGATAATCGTTTTTCAAATAGCTGAATTAATCGTGTTTTGATATCAAGGTTCATTTTAGGTTCAGGAAAATTATTCGTTTTTCGAAACTTCTTAAATTGGGCCTTATCCATTGTCATGATTTTGGCTTTTTTTGATCGATGAAAACAAAAATTAAATATAATCAAGATAATAAAAGTTGGTTGAAAACTCAAGATACCTATTATGATTAGCTCAGGTGGTATTTCCTTTGTAGTATCCAAAATAAGTATACTGAATAAAAATTATTTATAGGATAACGATTTAGTGTAAAATGAAAAATCGATTACAATGATTTAAACATACTCATTAAGAATATCTTCTTCCAGCAGCATCTCGATCTAATATCACATAAATTGTCAGCATCAAGACAGCCAACCAGAAGGAAATCAATAGTGGTTACATTAAGTTTAAATGCCTTTTTGTCCTTTGTATCCTCGTCGATAGATAGTGTGTCAACCACAAATTGTCCATTTAATTCCACTATATCATGTATATTATTCTCATCAACAAATCCATACTTGCGTAATAAATCTATTTAAAACCAAATTTTTTATTAGCATGATAAAAATCGTAATATCAATATATTTTCTTTATAATTTACCTGCAGAACACAATTCCCCATAAGTATTATACTTGATAATGAAAAAAGTATATTAGAAAAATGTTGAAATATATTCAATGAATAAATTATGAATCATTACAATTTGTTCCCCCTTTGTTATTTTCTTGATAGCGGTCATTTCTAATAACTCATTTTCGTGATATAATCGAGCCTAATAATAATAAAAATAATAAATAAATAAAAATATCGTTATATTGACAGTCAGAAATATTTACTGAAGCATACAAACATTATTAAACCCGGTTTTATGATTTAACATATCAGCCATTGGCATCATTGTAATTTCTTCATCTTCATCCACCTCATCATTATTTTCTGCATCATCTTTTTTAATTTTATTTTGGAATGCATTTGCCATTACAAGAGATCCCATGCAATGGAACAATTCCAAATTGTGTTTATTCGAATCGAAAATTGAGGGGATTGACTATTAAACTAGTTAAAATAAGTTACAAATTGTTTTCACATTAGGTAACCCCGGGAAGAAACTTTTTACCTGAATTATTGGTAATAAGTGTTCATTAAATTGGATTTCCGCCTCAACTCTTCCAATTTTATCTAATTTAACAAACGTATAACCAAATATATGTTGTATTTAAACTGTTTAAGTGATGGTAATTTAAGCTACTTACCAATGACGCTTGTTCCTTCTAATTCTGCAAGTTGTTCTTCATTCCAAAACATTGGAGTATCAAATTCTCGAGGTAAAATATCAAAATAAGGTTTCCATAAAGAATCTTCCTTTTGACTTTCGTACATCATACACAATATGAGTGGAAACCATGAATTTATTTTACCAAGCTTTTCAAATTCATCACTTGGTATTAAATCTTTTAACGATGACGTTTTTTCAGAGAGAATTATAGAATGTGGAATACTGAACAACACTTCAAATGGCTATTAAATGAATTATAATTTATAATTAAGAAATTTAAAATTTATCTTTAAGCGAAGATAAAAAAAGTACCTGTATATCGTCAACTGCAACAACTCCTCGACCTGAATTTTCTGAAGAATAGTCTTTGAAAGCAATTTTTGGTGATATCTTTCCTCCATTGCTACAAAACCATTCAACAAATTTTTGATTGATTTCTCCAAAATTTAAAATATAATCGTTCATTTTAACCTTTTCGAATAATCGAAAATTTTTTTTCGGGTTATTAACGCTGATTGGTTAATCTCATCTGCGTTACACGCTTACGAAATTGTAGATTGCGTATGCTTGCATAATCATATAAAATACCGAATTCAACTCGTTTGGAAGTTTTAGTTTCAATTCTTTTCAAATTTTTTTTTTGTTAAAATGTCTGAAAATGCTTTTCCAAAGATTCCTAATTTAGATCTTGCGAATTATAGATTTATTTTAAACAATCCAAAAACCTCGGAATTACATGATGAAGCGAGAACTAATTTATTTAATGCTATTGAGGAGAATAGTAAGTGACTTAGGTACTATTAATGTTATTCGCAAATCTACTCTGAAAGAAAAATTTATCGCGTTTACATGTACTTCGTTTTCAAATTCCATTTATGATCATACAGTATAATAACTTAATTTTTTTGTTTTCGAATTATAGATATGGCACCATTTTACCAATTGATTACCGAAGAACTCAAGATTCCATTTGATAAATCTTTGTTTGCAAAATACCAGGAAAATAATAAAGAAGAATTGAAGAAATTGGATGAAAAACTTGAAGATGCTGAAAACAATTTAGGCGAGACAGAAATTAGCGATGCTTTATTAGCTAAGGCTGAATTCTTTGCAAAAATTGGAGACAAGGTAAAACAATTTTTTATTTTAGCTTCTTATTTTAATTAATTCTTATATACATCACAAATTTTGTTTGTAGGAAAAAGCTATTACAGCATATCGTATCGCATTAGATAAAACAGCGGGATTAGGTTCACGAATTGATATAATTTTTTGTTTTGTAAGGATCGGATTCTTTTTTAATGACAATGATTTGATCAGTCGTAATATCGAAAGGACCAAGAGGTATTATATTTTTGATATTTTATCTAACTTATCATAATGATTATTAATATTTCAATTCCAATTCCAATTCCAATTCGCTTCTAGTTTAATAGAAGAAGGTGGCGACTGGGATCGGCGTAATCGACTTAAGGTGTATGAAGCCATTTACAGGTTATCCATACGCGATTTTAAAACAGCTGCAAATTTGTTCCTGGATACTTTATCGACGTTCATGTCTACGGAATTGATGGAGTATAAAGATTTTGTTAAATATGCTGTTTTAGCTGGCGCGATTTCCTTGAGCCGAGTTGATTTGAAAAAGAAGGTTACAGAATTTTTATTGGCTTTTTTTTTCGTATTTATTTATTTATCTAAAATTTTTTTTTTTGGTTATTTGCTGAATTTATAGGTAATTGATGCGCCAGAGGTATTAGAAGTCTTACACGAAATTTCGCACTTGGAAGATTATATTACCTCACTTTACAATTGCGATTATGCAAAATTCTTCCGAGCACTTGGTAATTTCAACTTTAGATAATTTCAAAAAGTAAGATGATTAATTATATTGAGACTTATGTTGATACCTTTGATTTTAGCGGATATCGAATTAGATCACTTGCGCGTTTCAAGGTACTTATTCTCACATGTTAGATATTATGTTCGAGAAATGAGAATCATTGCATATGCGCAGCTTTTGGAGTCATATCGTTCACTTACTATGGATAGTATGGCAAATTCATTTGGTGTTTCGGAGGAATTCATCGACAAGTAAGTAATAAAATTTTTTTAAAATAAAAATAAAGTGAACTAAACGTTTTTTTTTCTTTGATAGTGATGTATCAAAGTTCATAGCCGCTGGACGTCTCAACTGTGTAATTGATAAAGTGAATGGAATCGTTGAGACAAATAGACCGGATGCTAAGAATGCGCAATATCAACAAAGCATCAAACAAGGAGATATTTTATTGACTCGTATTCAAAAATTATCAAGAGTTATTAATGTATAAGTAATATATATGTAATTAACAGTCCAAAAAATTATTAGATCTCGATCTATCATAATCAGAGAGAGAGTTTATAAAATTTACAAAATATAAAATTAGCAAAATTAGTCTAATTTGAAAGGTTTTTTTTTTTATATTCGAGATTTAAGAAAATTATAAAATGATAATTATTTTTAAATATATATTTATTATTATTATTCTGTAGCTTCTGCAGCATTAGAATTTTGATGTGCTTCACGTTTTTCAATAGTAGAAGCTAATACTTGAGAACGAAATGATAAACCTTTTGTACGTTCAATAACTTGTTGATAAATAGATGTATGATTTTGATTCATAATAACAGTATTCTATAAAAAACGAGGATTTTATTATCAGAATAATTTATTAAAAGTGTATATCATGTTTATAGACCGAGACATACCTCTTTAAAATCAATCTTTGCGTCTACACGTGTATCTCGAATCAAATTGACTATCCATTTTTCACCTGCCTCTTGATCCAAATTAAGAGTTTGTGATAATCCGCTACAATTTACGCAATTAACAAATTAGTAAGTTTAAGAAGATATAAATGATTAATAATGTTTCATACCTAATATCAATCTTCAAATGTATCCGACAATATGTCTCAGAAATTAAGTGACGAGCATTCTCTACAAATTCCTGTAATGTAGCTACTAGGAAAAAGTCATTACTAAGAACTTCTTCGCATTCTTTTAATTTACGTTGGGCTCCCTCAAAATCAAATTTTACATATAAACTTTCGATAAATTCAGTGATGGGATCCCTGTATTCATAACTTTCCTGTTGAATAATTTTAACTAGATCTTTTAAAATGTTTTTTCGACGTTTGTTTGTTACAACGGCAGTTGTAAGATAGCGAAGAATCCATGGACATGCAGTTTGAATGGTATTAATATATGAAGGAGAGAGAAATAAATCAATAATATTATCGCGTCCTTTTGGATGATTAAAGAATACAAATATCGACCAATGAATAAACCAAGTGCGTTGCTGTAATTGATGCAAAGGAGACGCGAAATTCTAGAAAATGTTTGAAAGATTTAATTAAAAAAAAATAATTTATCACATGATTACGTTAAACCATCACACGTTAATTAATTACCCTTTGATCAATGATTTCTTTAAGTTTATGAACTTCTTCCAAAGCAGCTTCCCAATTAGAATCCAAAATATCGGAGGCTAGTTTCCCCCATAATGCCGAAATATTTAATTCGTGATCTGTTGACTAAACGTGAATAAAATATTTTAATCCTAAATTCTTTCCTCGAATAATCATTGCCAAAATATAATTGACTCAATCTACTAACCAACACACGGAAATGGTACAACATATCAGAAGCACCCTCATAGTTACCACAGTTATATTGGAATTGGCCAAATTGATATAGGGAGTTAACCATTTCATCCGTAAGCTATCAAAAAAAAAAAAAGAAAAACAAATTCAAAAGCAAATTTCAATAAAATCAAAAAATTAAATTCTAAAAATAATGATACATACTCCGTATTTTTCTTTGAGAAAATTAAGATTTTGAAGTTTATCTTGTCGAAGAGCAGCAATGACCTCTGGATTTTCTATAAGGTCCAAGACCCTCTGAGCCTCTGTTTGAAGATTCTCTAAATTCTGAAGAACTTCATTTCTTTTGGTAGTGAATTCTAGACGCAAATTGATATGATTGGGTTAATGATCGATCATTGCAAGATTCGCAAAATTACGCGTCAATTCTTAATGATACCTGACGGAACTTCTTCGGTGTCATGGATTGTTTTATACAATATTGAAATAAAATCAACCATATTAGTTTTAGCCAATAATTCATATTTAGCTTTCAGTAGATCAATTTCCGGGTAGATCTAAAGTAAACGAAATTAGCATTACATCTATTACAACGAAAATATATTCCGCAGAAATTACAAAGACCTTAAACCTTGCGCATAGACAAAAATTCCAACAATGGAAAGACAAGATGTCTATCCAAGTACGGAATCAAATTAGGTGTCAAGTCATAAGTTGCCGCCATTATATCAGAATCAAGTTTACTATTGAAGGTTATCAAAAAAAATTTAAACGTACTTAAAAAAAAAAAAAAAGATCAGCCAATTAAATTTAGTTGTGAGTGATACGATGAGATTATTATATAAATTTAATACTTCAATCAATATTTTTCTTCCTCTTCTATTCCATCCACCGAGACTTCGCTTGTCTTGGTAAGATTCTTATTATAGTTGTTAAGAGATAGAGAAGGTTACTTAAGTGATATCGATGAGAATTCATATATCCGATATTTGATTATACTCTTCAAATTTTCAAATAACAAAGCTTTTGATGATCAATCTATGATTTGGAATTTATTTTGATAGAATTAAAAAAAAATTTTTTTTTAGTTTAAATTTTTAATTTATCGAAAAAAGGGGAATTATCCTATTATTAATTGAATTTCTCATTTTATAGTGGTAAAAAATGGCACGCGTACCACGCAATAGATTTCTTGTTCCTGGAATTCCACGTTACTCTCGTAGCAAAATTTTTGCCAAAAAGGCCTTATTCAAACGCAAGAAGGATAAAATTCCTAAGGCCGTACCTGAAGTCAAGACTACCAAAACAGTCCAAATTAAAGGAGATAAAAATGGTGGAGAACGTGTTGTTCCATTAGAAAAAGCTCCACGATTTTATCCAGCAGAAGATGTTCCTCGACCAAAGAAATCGCGAAAAGTTCACAAAACGACCAAACTTCGTTCTTCTATTACTCCCGGTACAGTTCTTATCTTATTGGCCGGTCGATATAATGGAAGGCGTGTTGTCTTTTTAAAACAGCTCAAAAGTGGTTTATTGTTGGTAACCGGTCCATTTAAGGTTAATGGTGTTCCAATTAAGCGCGTCAATCAATCTTATGTCATTGCTACCTCTACAAAGGTTGACATTTCTACTTGTTCGGTAAGGATAAAAATCAATTAAAAATTAAAATAATATCTACATTCATGTAATTAACATCTTATTGATAAATTATTTTTAAAGCTTGACAAATTTGACGATTCATATTTCAAAAGAGAAAAGAAACCTAGTAAAAAAGGTACTGAAGAAGAATTCTTTGATGAAGGTAAAGAGGTAAGAATAATATAATATTCTCGCAATGTTTAAAAATTATATAATACTATTCAACAAAATAATCTTTTGTTTAGCAAAAGAAAGTAATTCCGAAAGAAAAAGTTGACGCTCAAATCGAACTTGATAAACAACTCTGTGCTAGTTTGAAAAAGATTCCACATATTCAAGATTATTTACGCGCCAGATTTTCACTTACAAAAGGTCAATTCCCTCACAATTTAATTTTTTAATTTTATTATGATAATTTAATAAAGGTTTATAAATTTCATAATAAGGATGGATAATAAAGCTGAGGTCATTATATTGTAATGACAAATGGCTTTATGAAATTTATGTAAAGAAGTTCCAAGTGATATTTTTTATCATTGTAACTATTTTTATTTCAATCAGAAAAAAAACAAAATAATTTATACAAAAGAGGAGAAATTGTAATAATAAAATTTATTATCGAAGTGATGGAATTGAATGTATTGTGACTATATTTTGTTTTTCTTCTTCCTTGCTGTTATACATCTATATAATACAATTAAATCCAAAGAAAGTCAAAATTTTTGCGATTTAACTGAATGAATCATTATTATTAAATGAAATTATCATGGATTATATCTGTTTAACCGCTTTCCAATATTGTTCCTGTCCAAATTTTGTATAAATTAGACCAAAGATAGCGCCCGCTAAATGAGCCTAATATTAAATTGAAATTTATGAAATATAAATTATATTAATACAAAAAAAAACAAAAAAATATTTGATCGAATTTCATATTTAAATACTCACAACATGATCGAACATTGTCATCCCAGAAAAGATTCCCCATAAATCAAATGCCATAATAGTGGGAAGCGCATAACTGATCTTAATAGGGAAAAATGGTAAAAATATCAAGTATACAGAAGCATCAGGATATTGAATTGCACAGGCAGAGAGGCACGCAAAAATGGCACCAGAAGCTCCTAAAGATGGCATTATGTTTTGATAACCTTTGAAACTTAAGGAAAAGACATGACTCATACAAGATGCGATCATTCCAGAAGAGAGGTAGAACGCAAGAAATTGTTCTTTACCAAAAATGCGATAAATCAAATCTCCAAAAGAATAAAGTGCCAACATATTAAAACCATAATGCCAAAAAGCTTCATGACTAAATACTGAAGTTAACAATGTAAATGACCGTCCAGAAAGCGGATTATGAACAAAATATCTGTTCATAATTATTCGTAAGGGTGGAATTTGCCACATTCCAAAGATGATTGTGTTTATTCCAATTAAAAATGCTACAGTCTTTGTACTATCACTCAACGAATTCCATCGTTTGATCATAAATGCCCAATTTCTGTGCAAGTCTCTAAATAATTGAGAATTTTCAATTTTTTGAATTGATCGATGAAATATTCCTTTGATCCATGGTTCTCTGTAAGTCACCATATCTCCAGCATTTGGATCATTGTTATTATAAAAATGATACATATTTCTACGTCGAGCTTGTATTTTTTCAGCAGAAATATGGGTTGCTATAGTAAATGTCGAACCTGAAGCGATTATTGCAAATAAAACAGGTTTCCAAATTGAAGGCGTTACGCGCTTTCGATATGTTCTTTGTAATAACGAACTTTTATAAGATTCAAGTTTATTATTATAATGTCGAGTGTCTAACGCATAATTTCTTATTGAAGGAAATGTTGAACGATGAACATTTTGTTGAATATTAAAGCAAAAACTTAAAGAAGGTATAATTTTTCCTGTACGAAACAGCATTTTTTTTTTTTTTTAATTCGAAGAAAAAATTTTATGTTCTACTGTAACGCAAAGGTCTTTGATCAACATAAACTAATTGTCATACAATTCAAAAAACATTGTGCTCGAAATTAGCTTAAACACGTGGAAACTTGACATAAACGTTATAGTTGTTGATTAATCAAATTTATTAATCAAAAATCAATTAATTACGTTAATATATTTTCATCGTACAATTCCTGATTAATTTTATCTTTCATTAATTCAAAAACCAAGAAACCAATGCTAGTAGCGGGAACAGCTCTCAAAATTGTAGCACCAAAATCACCATACAAAAATCTGATCACTCCTTTTCTCTTAATTCTCAACTTACATTGTTGCCATGTGTCTTTATATAAACGTGGCCTTTGTTCATGTTGATATTCAGATTGAGCTTCTTCTATAAGAAATATATTTCTAATCCTATCTAATGGATAATCAACGAAATGATATGATATTGCTGCCATTCCACCAGCTGCCAATACAAAAGCTGGTTCAACAAAATGAGATTTTTTTGAAAAATGAAATTTTGGATTTTCGTGAAGATCATCCATTTCGTTGACAAATGAATTATAGCATTGCTGTTTAACAAATTCAAAAACTCCAAAAAACAATCCACAAGAAATTGAATCCTATGGAATTGACGACATTTGGAAAAAAAATTATTATTATTATATGAGAACAATCAAAAAGAATCGTTCCAACAAACCTTAACCAATGTCAATCCAATTCCGCGATAAATACTTGCAATTCCCAATTCCTTCCAAGTATTTCTAGCAAAATCAAACATACTCTTATGTTTTCCCTCCAGTAAATCGTTTACTTCAAATCTAACCTTTAAAGAGTCTAATGGTGCAGCAACTATAGACTGTGCAGCTCCTGCAATGGCTCCAGAAATAAATACAGCCGAAAACGGGGGTGGTTTATGTAAACTATGATTATATTTTGATTCGAGAAATGAAGAAGTTCCATGGAAATGCGATAGAACTGTAATATATGTTGTAAATAATACTGCGCCTATCATTGAATTTGCTACCAATGGTGGTATTATATGACGTGGGATAAATATAAACTAGAAAAAACGAACATCATGAATATAATAACGTCGGAAATTTTTGTTAATTGTCCTTCCTAAATTATTTATAAAGATGAAGTAAAATTTTTCAGATCGAAAAAATTGTATTATTTGCTGAATTTGACTTGGACTAATTAATAGTATACATACACCATGTTGCTTAACTGCATGTGTTAGCATGCCGAGACTTGTTGAATGAAATGAAAATTTTTTATCTTGAATTGGTGGCATAATTGCTCGGGCCATTAGTAAATAATCAACTCTAAGTGGCCTAAATAACTAAAAGTTGGTAATAATTAAAAAAAAATATATATATATATATATAAATTACTCTTGAGGAGGAAAGCGTATTAAATATTGATTGATTTACTTTTATTGGAGTCCTATAAAATAAGGCAAGACCTTGTAATATAAAGGATCTCGTAAAGGCAGTTGGCGCCGCAACAGAAGCTGCATTTTTTGCATTTTTCTTTTTCTCTGAAAGGTCCTGAGCTGTTCTGTTTGTCATGATCAACAATATCAACATGATAAAAATATTTTTTAATTTCAAACAAAATTTCATTTCACGTGATTTGCACATGATTTTTTTAGAGAGCACAATTTAACGGTTTCGTCAAGTGCCAAAAATGCAAAATATGCAAATAAAATTTTTTATATAGTAAAAAATATACTTTATTAATTTACTGAAAGTGATATATGTCTATCATCTAAAATTCTTTATAATTAGAAAAAAACTACGTTCAACATCAACTCTAACCATATGTAAACTAATGCAATACTTGATAAATTTGAAAAATTCTTTTTTTTTCTTGCCAATATTGATTTAAATTCAAATCGCCCTCCTCAAAAATTTCTACCAAACCACAATAAATTGGCCATTCAGTTATAATAGAATTAGAAGAATTTTGAAATTCTGGAATCAGATTATAATTAGTTAAAATATGTCTATTTTGAGATGATTGAATAAATTGAGAGTTAAAACATTGAATTGCATTGAATAATGGTAAAACAGAATTAGAATATGTTTTTCAAATTTTTTCAATGTTAATTTAAAAGTTTCAGAAAAAATTGGAATAAGGTACACTAATTGGTGGGTTATTTATTCCATTTTACAAAAATGCTCTTGTTTGTTTAATTCTTAAATAAACAAAAGAAACAATAGTTAAATTTCTTATTTTAAAAAATTTAAGATCCAATATTAATCTAAAAAATATTAAAACTTTAATTTTATATTTTAGTAATAATAAAATAATAAAAAATATTTTTAATATTTACCTTTATACATTAAATAAAATAAATTTAATTAAAATATCTATATAAAAACTTTGACTTTGATTTTAAAAAATCTCTTTTAATTCTTTAATAGGATTAGAATTTTTTTTACAGATTCTTTAATAAAAATATAACCATATGTTGATAATAATTTTTCACATAAATTAAAATTTAAACCAAGAATTCCATCTAGTCTTGATAGATAAAGGAGGTAAATTAACAAATAAATCTTATATGTTTTCTTTATCAAATAAACTTTTATTTGTATTTAAAAGAATAGATTTTGAAATCAAATGTTCTCTCTATCTTTTTTTTCTTGTTGCTAAGTATATAAATAATGTTTTAATATATTTAACTACAATATTTAATAATTTAAAATGTTCAAAATCCACCCAAGTTTCATCAATAAGATTATAAATATGAGCAAAATATATTATAAAATAAGTGTGATATTAATGAAAATAAATATTGATAAAAGCTTTTTTTATATATATAATACATTATTATTAATAAAATATATTAAATTGGTAAAAGAAATATTATAAAAATTTATACAATTATTGTATTGTTAATAATTATTAAAAAATGTATTTACTAATTTAATTTTATTTTGATAACTAAATAATACATTAAGAATACTTCTTCCATAACTATCTATTATTTAATTTATAATTACAGAAATTCTTTAATTAGTTAATTTATTCATTAACATATTTTTTGCTGATTCAAAAATACTGAAAAATATCTTTCATATAGATAATTTACATTAACAATTTTAATTTTTAATTTTTTGATATTAATATTTTAAATATTTAAAACAAAAAAAAATTATAAATATAAAATATAGATAAAAATCTTACCATTATTATAATATTTTGTAAAAAGAGGTTTAAGTTTTATCAATATTTTTAAGTAGAATATCAGCTTTAATGAATACTTTAATAAGATGTAAATTTATTTTTTATTTTTCTGATCTAATTTAATAAATATTTAAGATAGTTATTTATAAAACTTTAGCATCTTCATAAATTTTCTTTTCTTTTTTTAAATAAGAGTTTATATGAAAATAACAGATTTACATTTATAATTAACTACATATTTACTAAATTTACAATATAATTTTTTATTTTCTAAATGAAAATGAATATTAAATTTTTAATAATCTTTCAAATGCTAAAACTATTTTGAAAACATAATATAGATAATCACAATAATCAATTAAATATTTATTTTATAAATAATAAATATATAATAGATCATGTGAAAAATATAAAAAATGATAAAATTGTCTTAAAAATGTGATACATATATAATGCAAAATTATAGTATCTAGTTAATTATTTTTTTTTTAGTTTTTACTTAGAAAATATCATAAAATTTATTATAAAAGTATTAATTTTGTTAATAATATATTTTAAAATAGTTAAAAATAATTAAAAATAATTGTAATTAATAAATAAAATTATCTGTAAATTTGTAAGCAAAACAATTGAAGAGATAAATAGCTTTATTTATTATTTATATACTATAAATATTAATTAATACTTTGCAAAATATTATTATTAGGAGATACTATCAGTGGTAATGACTAAAGTCTCTTAACAATATGATGATATGAACGTATTCTACTAGAAAAATATAATTTTAAAATGTATTTTTAACCAAGTTACTTGATTTTAACTTAACTTCTCTAAAATAATCTACTTTTATTCAATAGCAGTTTTTTCTTTAACTATTTACTCAAGTTCTTTCTATTTATCTTTACCTTCAATAAATCCTTTAACTTCTCATAGTGATTTTACTTTGTAAATGTATTTATAAATAATAGAGCTAATATGCTTTATATCAATAAATATCAGATTATTGAGATACATAAAGATGAGATTATCCTAGAATTATTTTACTATTAGAGAGGGTATTATCTTCAATAATATCAACTGCAAGAGATTCAGGAAGGAGAATACAATAATATTTTAACTAATCATATTTATTATATGCTTTTTTTTAATTTTTTATTATATAGATAAAGATGAAAAATTAACAGTTAATTAAGATTTGGTTAACTAATAATATATATTTTAATATAAACAAATAGTTATATATCAATATAATTATAACAAATTTATTATATTTGATTTAAATCTGAAAATACTATTATTATGATCAGTTCTTTAAGATACTTATGAGCGATAAGCAAAGTAATTTTTATGGGTGGTAAGCAGAAGGTTTAATTTGATATTTAAATTTAGAAGAGTATTGGTAAATTAACAGTTTATTTAATAACTATAACAATAGAGTACTACCTCAGTCAATACTCTGTATTATACAATTATATTAAGAGAATTAAACTAAACTATTTTATAAAACTATAAGTCAGATACACTGCTAAGCTAAAAGAAATTGTCTTCTATTTATATAAAATAAAAAATATAAAGTTATCAAAGATATAAAAGAAATAAATATAATAAATAAAAT